TATACTATATATACATCTTAAGATATACTATATATACTATACTATATATACATCTTAAGATATACTATATATACATAGTATACCAGATATACTAGATATATATAGTAGATATATATGTATATATAGTATATTTTAAGATGTATATATAGTATATAAATCGAATATAGGTTATATATCTTTATTACTATTTTTTTCTCTAACTTCTATAATAAAAAAAATTAAAAAGAGAAAGTTTCTGTGGGCCCGTTTAGGCCCGGGCCCGGCCCGCGGCCCACTAAACCGGGCCCGTTAGTTCGTGGTCCCGGTCCCGAGCCGGTTCCAACAGTAAGCCCGCGAAGCCCAGGACCGTTTAGGACCGGACCGCATAGGACCGGCCCACTTAGGACCGGGCCCGCGAAGCCCACTTAGGACCGGGCCCGGCCCACTTGCCACCCCTAATACCATATAGTGTATCATAATCACTGTTGAATTATGATATATTGTATACTATATTATAATTACAGTTGAATCATAATATACTATCACTAGAATGTTAAATGGTATTCAAAATATTCTTGATATACTATACAGTATAAATGATTGCAGTGATTCCTATTAAATTACAGTAAACTGTGATTAGTAGGATGTTAAATGATATTTACAGTATTCTCGGAATATCGCGCAATATACCATAATTATATGTGATTACTGTTGAGTCATAATATATTGTGATAACTATTGAGCCATGGTATACTAAAGTTACCGTGATACCTGTTGAAGCAAGATATATTATAATTACTCTTAGGACTTGCCCATTTAACTAGAAATAACAAAAAAATGAACAAAATTATGGACAGGGAAATTTTACTGAAAAAACTCAATTAAAAAAAATGAAAAAACTTAACAAATATTTTGGACCGAAAATATTCTAGTGGGAATACCAAAATTAAGAAAATTACGGAATATAGTAAAATACAATTAACAAAATAAAGACAAGAAAAAATAAAGTGAAAAAAATTGAGGATTATTACTAGAAAAAATAATAAAAAGAAAAAAATAAAGAAAATAAAATAAAAAAAAGAATGCAGAATTTTATTTTTTTAAGAAAGTGATAAAACAACAATAAAACGAAAAAAATAAAAGAAAGTGAAAAAGGTGAATAAACAAAAAACATAAAGGGAGATGTCTAATACAAATTTTAGGACTCGCCTATTTAACAATAAAGAATAAAAAACATGAAATAGAGTGACAAGTTTTTGAGTGAAGAATTTTACTACAAACAACAAAAAATAATGAAAAATAAAAAAAGTAAAAAATATTTTAGAACAATTTTTACTGGAGAGAATAAAATTTCAAAAAAAAAAAAAA